CTACTCACATTACACAGTTTATAACATCTACAATATCAAACTCAGTATAAATTCTACTCACATTACACAGTTTATAACATCTACAATATCAAACTCAATTTCCACACTACTCACATTACTCAGTCTACAACATCTAGATGTATATCTGTTATACTGTGTTTGTTCTTATTACATATCATACACAGCATATTAAAATTTTCTTCTGTGTCTATATTAAACAATAATAAGAAAGACCTTCCTCACCTAAGTTTACCAGAACCTTCATTAGACATGTCTACAACTTTTTTAGCTTCTTCTAGAAGATCTGCAACACTACCATTTTTATTGGGGTAGAGCACCAACTCAGTCTGCAACAAAGGAAACAAATTAAATCTACAGACGTTTAGAACACAGTAAAAACAGCTTCCTGGAATTCTAAAAATAATCACATCATTTTATTAAAATATTAGCTCTACACTTCAACTTTCAATATATCCTGAGACGGAACACTTCTCAAAAAATCTGCACTTAGATTAACTTTCAATATATCCTGAGACGGAACACTTCTCAAAAAATCTGCACTTGGATTAACTTTCAATATATCCTGAGACGGAACACTTCTCAAAAAATCTGCACTTAGATCAACTTTCAATATATCCTGAGACGGAACACTTCTCAAAAAATCTGCACTTAGATTAACTTTCACATCTTGAGAACAAAAATAATACTTCTTTAAACTCAACTCTACAACTTAATATAACTTTCACATCTTAACAGTAAAGAAGAATACTTCTTTAAACTCAACTCTACAACGTAAATTAGCTTTCACATCTTAACAGTAAAGAAGAATACTTCTTTAAACTCAACTCTACAACTTAATATAACTTTCACATCTTAACAGTAAAGAAGAATACTTCTTTAAACTCAACTCTACAACGTAAATTAGCTTTCACATCTTAACCCTTTCATTATGGGCTGGGTAGAATCCACCCAGCTCATAACCACAAAAGTAATTACACTATGATTTTTGATAATGTATGCATATCTTTACAAAATTCTGCAGGTTATTGGTACACATTACAAGGCTTTCGTATATAAAATATCAGGTTTTTAAATTAAGTATTAAGATTTTTTAATTAAAGATTTTCTTGTAAAATTTTGTCTTTCAGAATGTTGATTACCCAACATGCAAAGTAATGTTGATTTTAAGATTATAAATACTTTTATGCATTACAACATTTACAATTTCACATGCGAAATCTTTATATACACCAGAAAAACTATATATTTTATCTGTTATTTTCACTATTGTATCTCTGTACAGATTGGTTCGATTTAACCGACTTCATAACCACCATAAAAAGATGGGAAATAAATACAAATTATGCTTTTTTTGTTCTAGAATGACTACAAATTATAACATGC